ATTTTTTACCGAAATTCAAGATTTTCAAGATAAATGTCAGAGTTATAATAAGCATGAATAATTTTGTAATGCTAGCTTTTTTTTTTTATGCAAGATTTTAGAAAAACAGTGCCTTAACATATGTTTCTTTTTTGTTTTCACTTCTTAAATGTCTAATTTTCAAAATGCCCTCTGTATATTTAAAAAACAAAATTTCTCAAAAAAAAATGAAAAATTATAAGGAATAAGCTTTGACAAACAAGTAGTAAAATTGTTTACGGTCGAAAAATGCCTTGCTATACAATGTTCTAAATGTTTACTTGGTTCTCCGAATCATTTTGTACGAATACATTCTCAGGATTTTCACATCTTGATACCACTACTTATAATTGACCATGAGAAAACAAAGGTCTTTTGTAGATAAATCTTAATTTATTGAAACTTTCACCTTGCAGTTTATTCGTTGTCATGGAAAATGCTAAAACTATTAGAAACTATTGTCTATGTACAATAATCAGTAAAGATAAATTATTACTGGTACTCAGCTTAATTCTTGGAATAAGAACCTAATTACCAGACTTTTGCCAGTAATTATTTCTGCTTCTTAGTTATATAATTTAAATGATTCTGTTATACGTTGCCTAGTGCCATTGCACAACCTATTAAATGTAATCAAGTTTTTTATTAACATAACAATAGTATCTACTTATTAATTTATAACATGTGGTGGTAATCCTTCATGTATATTTTTTAGAGTTTCTATAGAAAAATTTGTGTTTGTACTCTCATCAGTGCAATCAGTACCTTTATATTCTCATAATCTATACTGTAATAAGTATATTCTTTTCCTTTATAATAATTCAAAATTTTATCATTCAAAATGTACGGAAGTTCGTTATAAGTTGTTAGAATTACTTCAGGCAGCTATTTTTACCATCTTCATGAATTTGTTTACAAACATCATCAGTTTTCCATCCCTGTGGAATTTTGAAAGACTTTATTTGCTAATTTTTAATGTCTATCAACAATAATAAAAACTTCAAATCTGTATACCGCATATTAGTTTTCGGTTTCATAATTTTAGAATGTTTCCATAAAAATGAATACTTTATACTTCCACTCATTTTAGAATTTTGAAACTCATGCTTCAACAGTGAAAGTATTTGTCCAAAATTGCCTTATAAAATAAATATTTTTTCACCAAATGGAATATTACTATTACATGAATCTTTTACAGTTTTACGCACTATTTCTAAGGCTTTTTTAGAGG